GGTCCTTGATTCTGCTGGGTTGGTGTGTTAGTTTAAGGAGAGGTCTAACTCATGAGGCTCTGCAAAAACTGGATAGTCAAAGCAGATCCTTCCAGACACTTACAGCCTATTACCTGGGTGGCCTCCTAGGTCTCCCAACCCAAGCCAAGGGGCCGTGCCTACGTCTTTGCACCTACACTCTCGTGAAGGCCGGAGACCCTGACCACGCTTGGGGGGGATTCAGAATCTCCACATCAACTGGCTTAAATGTTGTACCTAATCAGAGATCTTCTTTTAACTGGTACCTAGGGCAAAGAATTCCACCCTAGACATGCAGTCCCCTCACTCCTACCCCAGGACAGCAGCCAACTCCGACCTCAGTTCCCTCGGTTCTGCTTCCAGGCGTAGCCAAAGAAGGCAGTTAGCCAAGCACTCCGCCAACCATTTCTCTTGCAGTTGAAACCACCTCCCCATTCTCCACATGGAGCCCCCCAGAGTCCAAGAAGACTCAGCTCCCACACTTAGGCCCGGGCCCACATAAGTAAGCATGCAGACACAGACAGTAGATGATTGGGTAGAAAGATGCTCCAGGGGCCACTCCCACATGAGTAAGGGGGTCTGAGCCCAGAAAAACAAAAGACAAGTTAGAAGAGGGGAAAGGAAAAAAGAAAGAAAAAGGAAAAAACATAAAGAAAACAAAACAACTAGGATGGTGTTCCCTCATTATAAGACAAGTCAGCCAGGACATACCTTTGGACAAGGACCATACAGCTGTTCATCCTTGGGACTGGCAACGAGGCGGATGGTCTTCATCACCCCAGGGGCCTTGAGCAAGTGTTGCTTTGGTTTATTTCAGGAGGTGCTACTGGAAACATAAAACAAAGTGCCTGGAGGGCACTATAAAAAATAGAAGAAACATGGGAGACTCATCATCCAACGGGTATTTATGTGTTTTTAGACAGGGGCGAGGGGAGAGGGAGCTCTGCGGTGAGGTAACGTTCTTTCTTCCATAAGCGCATCCTCGGGTGGTTTTGTCGCTGCTGAGTCCCTGACTTTCCGCTCGGAGTCCATTCCTGAGTTTGGAAATCGCTCTTCGCCAGGAGGAAGGCGAGGAAAGAACCAGCAACAATAAAACAGCAGCTCTGCTGCTGGAGGAAGAGGATCCCACAGACGCTGCTGGTTGGGGCCCAGGCACTGGACGGAGGCCACACATGGGCGGCCCAGCTTCCCAGGAGCTGCTGACACGTTCTTGCAAACGGGGAGGAAGATGGCAAGGTCGAGGAGGAGAAGTGGGGAGGGGTCTGCTGTGGGGAGCCGCCGACTCCATGGGGTGCAGATGGTGCCACCCTCTCCGATCGAGGACCTCCTCCCGATGGGGTCACCTTGGATCACTCCTCCCCCACGGAGGCTTTCTTCTACGTGGAATATTACTTTCATTTATTTGATTTCCCTTCTCTCTCCCTCACTGTCTCAAAAAAAAGGAGGTCTACTAATAATAGCTAGAATATATAAATAATCATTTTTTAAACATTATTGGTTCTTTGTTTCCAAACCCAAGGTTCCTCCTCTCTTCATTTTGCCAATAAATAGGGAAACTGAGGAAATCAACTCTGCTCATGTCAAAAAGATCCCCCCCCCAAAAAAGAGCTAGTCCACCTAACTTCCCATATCTATGGAAAATAAATAGTACATCACAATGCCGTCTCTCTGAAGGACTGTTAATTCTGCTCTTTTGTTCTGCTTCTTTTCAGTAGTTTGTGCTTCTGCTGTACGTACCCTAAATAGAGGGAAAGGAGGAGAGGAACGTGTGGAAGGTGAGAGGAAAAAGCCAGGATGAAGGGAAAATCTAAACTGTCTTTCACTTAAAAAAAAAAAATCAGAACCAGAACAATGACCAAAGTCACAGGGTGATGGCTAATTGCCCAGAGAGTGTGTCCCGTGCGTTTAGCAACTGCCCTTTTTATCAGCTGTGGGCGAACCCCGGCCACTGCGACGTCCTCGGCAGGAGCGAGGCTCTTCCAAATCGTCCTCGTCAAAGCCGTGGAAAGTTGAGGTGTCACTTTCTGACGTGGAACCGAATAAGTCCTCCGTGGTGCGTGCTGCAGCCGCTGCCTCCTTCTCCTTCCTGCCTTCTCCTCCCAAATGAGCTGACATGTATGATGAATATATCAGCACATGGGTTAAGCAACAGACAGCATTATTAATATTCTTAATACATTATTACAGTGTTATTCTTAATAGCAAGATCATACATCATTCCACACCAAAGGGATTAACTGGGTGCGTCACCTGGTGACAGGGGTTTGGGGTAAGAGGACAAAGGCAACATTTCCAAGGAAAAGGGTTCTCCCCTCCCCAGAAAGGCATCTGGGGATACCTCTACCACAATATATTTGTCCGTAGCTCTGACAGCGCCAGATTCAACCACGATCTTTCTTTCTTTCTTCTCTTCGGAAGGCACACATTCACATGCACGCTCGCTCCACCCGCCCCAGACAAGGAGTTTTCTTGGTGGTTTTTAAGCCCTGGTTGGTATTTCTTTGGTGTTTTCAGTTGGCGTTTCTTTGCACAATGTTTGTCCTTCATTTTGACAGTCAGCTTTACAAAGGTATTACTGTCAGATAACCCGGTCAAGGTGGTTAAGCCTCCATCCATTTTATTTTTATTTTTACCCGTTTCTAATCCCATTCTTCCCAAACACTTTCAATTCTGCCCTTATAACATGTAGTTCATTTGCACTGAAAGCAAAAAAGAAGTTGGAAAGTCTGATAAGTGGTAGGTATTCAAAGAGCCTCTCGTCTTGTTCACCCCTGGAGGACATGTCTGTGTCCTGCACCCACACACATGCGCATTCACCAACACGCATGTGTGCACACAGGCATGCAGGCACGTGAACGCACGCTCCTGGTCTAAAACACGCCCAGGTCTAAGTTACTCCAGAAAGTCTGGGGTTGTTCAGTCTAACTCAGAGCACTCAGAAAGTGGGAACTAGGGGTGGCAAAGCTGAATAAAAGACAGTATCCTGAAATCTAGAAAACTTGAGTACAAACTCTTTCACATTCTAAATGGGCCCCAGGACTGCCCCCTGTTGAGGTCACAAGGCTCCACTTACAATGTCAGTTTCAGGAATCTCATTTTTTCTCCCAGGAAAAGTAGGTAGTGGAGTAGATGGGAAGGAAAAGACAACTTTCCCGAGCTCCACACTCTTCCTTGGAAGGACTCCAGGGAGGCCCTAGAGAAGTATGCACCCACCTGCCTCAACAAAGCATATCCCATGGGCTAATGCCACCAGTTTATTCCCCAGGTGTCAACTATTTCAGGAACATCAGAGTCAGACCTAGACTAAATTATCCACCAAAACTAATCCTTGGTGACTGCAAGGAGAACACCTAGGCTGGTATAAAACTGCCCCCTGGGTCCCACAGCAGACAGATCCTGGGAAGAATAAGCTGAGTTAAGGCTGTGGGAGAGACAGGCTTTGGATAGGAAAAACCAGCTCCCCACTTCTGGTCCCCCATGGATCACATTCAAGTACCCCACCTTTTGTAGGAAAGGAAGAGGGGACATCTCAGCAGTTTTCACTGAGAATTCTGAAGCTGCCCTCTCTAACCCATCCTCAACCCACAGCAGTCCATACAATTCTGACTAGAATATCACGCCACCAAGAAACTCTGCCTCTGGTGGTAGAGATTTTGTCTGACCGCTTGCTCTTCAAAAAATGCTGAACTGAATTTCATTTGCTTCATTTTCTTTCTGAGTTTGCTTCGTTTTCTTTTTGAGAGTCTAAATCCCAGAGTCCACTACCACATGGGCCCCCTCGTCTCAGCTGGCACCAGTAGAATAAAAAGTTCAACATTAGGTGTCACGTTTGGCAAGTGAAAGAACTGACAGAATTCACAGATGGGCCAGCCTGTCAGGGTCCTTAAGCATTAAATGTGGGGGGTTGTGTGCAGTGGAAACCACAACGCTTTTCCAAATTACTGATTTGCCGTCTTAAACCTTAAACAATCCAAATATTAAAGGACTAAAAGCTAAAGTCTGCAGACAGAGCCGGTAAAGCCAGGTATGGTCATCTCGGGCCCTCTCTCGGGACTGGGAGTTGAACAGATGCTGGGTAGAAAGGAGCTGGGAAGGAGCCATGACTCCCGGCTGCTGGAACCAACCACCCAGCAGAACTGAATTTCATCTACTAGTCAGCAGATGATGAGACTAAAGATGAGTCTGAAACTTTCCTCCCTGCCTTTCACTTGAGCCTCATTACAACCCAAAACAATATGAAAAGCCAACCATGATCCAGCACGAAAAAAGCAAAACAAAAGCCTGAAGACAGAACTCATTTTAAGAACAAAAGAACAAAACCAGGTTTAGTCTTTGAATAGATTAAAGATGAAAATTCAAAGCATCCCAAGCCTACTCCAGAAGAGTCCTAAGAACACCTGCCCTTTTGCCTCCTTGATCTACCAGGCTCTCTCTGGTTTTCCACATGAGAAAATGGGATGAGTGGCCAATGGAGGTGGTATTTATGCTGCTACCCAGAAGCCTAGGGGTCTCTGACTCCCCTACAACTCCAGGTATGGCAGCTCTCTCAACATTCATGTCTCCACATCCTTCCAGTTTGCCCCAGGCACTTCCACAGAACAAACACGTCTTTTTGTGACGTGCACATCACCCGATATGAGGAAGCATACTGCCTCTGTCTCCAGCTGTTTCCACACTGTCTCACCGTCGTCCATAACAACACACACCAAGAAATATCCACCTCATGGCAAGGCCGGACAAACACAAGCCCACACCTTCTTCTTTCCCTTTTCCCTGGATCCCAGAAAATAGATTTTAGTTCTTAAGACTCAAGAAGGAAAAAACAGTCAAAATAACCTGAAAATCCCCCTTGCACTCGAAAAATCACCACCATCACTTCTGGACCCACCCTTCAGTCCCTGCCCCAGACAAGATGGCAAAGGAATGAGAGTGGAAGAGTTCCTGGTCTACGAGCACATGATGAGAGAAGGGGCCACACTCACCAGAGCGTCCACAGTCTGCACAGGATACCAGCTCCTCCGGCCTCCCACTCTTCTTGTTCATGTTGGAACCCCCCAAGCAGAAGTCACAGTAGTTATTGGGAATGACTGTCCCATCTGGTCCTTTCTGGGCTGTGGAAACATTTTTTTAAAAATCCAGTGTTAGGCTGAAGTGAGTCTCCACTGGCCCCTCTTCTCTTACTGGTGTGGCTGAATCTGCTCCAGAAAGAATATGAAGTTTAGAATCTGAGGTTTGGTCACAACCAGGTTGTTTTCTTGAGCAAAGTTTTATGATTCTCCTCAGTTCAATGGTACTAATGTCTTGCAAGCCATTCAGAGCCGAGTTTGGTTTTTGCAATATTTGTCATTTCTGTGTTAGTAGAGAAACAACCCTGCTCCTCTGATTGCATCCCTGGATCACTGAAGCATCCAGAGAGCCTATGAGTCAAGTGAACTTCTCTCATCCTGAACAACTAGCCCTCAGGGTCCAAACATCAGATGACAACCATCAGTGGTGCTGTGACTATAGGGAAAGAGAAAGGTCACTACCTAGGCCTTGCCCTAGCTAGGGAAAGAGGCTCCTGTTTAGGAAATATTCCTTCTGTCTCTGAAAAGGAAAACAAAGAAGCAAGGATGAGGGAATCATTCCAGGAAGGACCCTGAAGATGCTCTTGGGGACTCTGATACACATGGTGGCAGGTACATAGGTGTCCAATCTTGTTCAGTCCCATCCATCTCCCTAAAGTCCAAACTCATTGGTTATGGAAAGCACCCAGGACTAGTTAATCAGCAGATCCCTATATCAGAACTGGGCACTTAGCTCAGTCTCATACTGGACATCAACCCTGAATAGTCATTGGAAGGACTGCTGCTAAAGTTGAAGCTCCAATACTTTGGCCACCTAATGCAAAGACTCAACACAGTGGAAAAGACTCTGATGGTGGGAAAGACCGAAGGCAAAAAGAGGGTAGCAGAGGATGAGATGGGTGGACAGTGTCACCAACACAATGGACATGAACTGGAGCAAACTCTGGGAGATAGTGGAGGACAGGGAAACCTGGTGTGCTACAGTCCACAGGGTCGCTAAGAGTCAGACATGACTTAGCAACTGAAAAACAACATACCAGACATGGATTGAATGGTGAGTTAATGAGCATATCTTGAGGCGTAAGGTTTTCACAAGGCACCCTTGCTGAAAGGCCTTACACAAAAGCAAAGGAATATCTTGGGACATGATTTTTCAAAACAAAGCCTTGTGAAAACAGCACATGTCCTCAAGCACTGAAATCTCAGTTTCTAAGGGCTGGTTAAAAAGCTTTGGACAGGTTCTTTGTATGAGGAGAAACGCTTTCATTTTCCTTGTTTTTCGATCCCTATTGTGGACACTTCTTTGTCATATTAACACTCCCTGTCTGTGACAAAGAAGAAAAGTCTCTCTGTTTATGGGATCAGCCTAAACCACAAGGGTACCTTCCTCCTCCCCAATTCCAACGTCTGCCGCTATCTTTCATTATTCACTGACTAACATTAATCAGGGTCCCGTAGGGTACAAATCTGTAAAAGGAAGCAGATATGTGAGCAGAAATACCATCCAGACAGTAAGTGATAAACGGATTCACCCACTTTAATATGATTCCCCCTGGCCTCTGCTTCCTCCATGCCTCTTCTTTGCCTCCAGGAATAGAAAAACTTACCTGGGGAAGGCGGAAGACAAAAGCTCATAGAATTACATTATAGAGGGTTAATCCATTTATCAGTTGCTATTTGGATTGTTTAATCAGTTTCTAAGTCATTGATTTTCATCTTCAGGGAGGCAGACAATTCTCTGCAAGAAAAGTGGGAGCTGATTGGGGTAAACAGAGAAGGGGACCCCACCCTGTGGCCTCCAGGAATGTGGGTTTTTCTTCATCAGTCACTGCATCTCAAAGACAGATGTGCATCATACAGAATGGTTTTGCAAATAATCTCCAAAAAGCAGGACATCCGCAAAAAGTTTACTCTGCCTGTAAAATTCATTGCCCAAATCCAGAAGGAAGTCCCTTTCTTCTTCACTCAATTGCCATCTTAACCAATTATAGAACTCTCTCAAGGAAATCCAAGTATGTTTATGAAACAAATAAACTCAGGGTTTCTTCATTAGGCAACTATCATGGAAATCAATCAAAAGATGAACAGAAAGAAGTGGGTTATTTCAAATGGAGGCGCTGAGTGTCAACCAAAGCTAAGTTTCATGACTGGTATGAACTAGATATAAAATGTGGAAATGCCGATCACAACTTAGGTAGCTTCCTGCATGACGAGAGATCAAAGAACCCCATGTATATCATCACACCGAACCTCTCAGGAGGCCCAGTCTCATCACCTTTTTCTTTCCTGCTCTCTTAGGGACTCTCTTTTATATCAGACTTATCCCCTTTCACAAAATCTGTAAGCAACCAAAGGATCTAGTGTTTCTCCAACATACAGTATCCCTTATGATTTATCAAAATGAAGACATAGAATATAGAGTATAAGAATGCCCAGAAAGGGACTTCCCTGGTGGTCCAGTGATAAAGAATCTGCCTTCCAATGCAGCAGATGTGGGTTCGATCCCTGGTTGGGAAGCTAAGATCCCACATGCCACAGGGCAACTAAGCCCATACATCTCAACTAGACAGCCCAAGTACCACAAACTACAGAACCCACATGCTCCAGAGCCCATGAACCACAATTAGAGAGAAGCCCCTGAGCACAACAACTAAGACCCTATGCAGCAAAAAACAAAAAAGAAAGCCCAGATAATTCTTTACAGTTTTTACCACCAACAGACCAATGGTAGAACACCGTATTAAACAAGGGACTTGAACCTGGCAAGAAATAAAAAATTCAGAAACAATCTAGTAGAGCATAGCAGACAGTGGTGGAGAAATCAAACCTATGGGGAAAGACCAAAGAAGAGAATTGAATTCATCTGACGAAGCAAAGCTTCCAAAGAAACTGAAGCAGAGCAGGGTCTCCACGTATATTTATTTGTATTAGTAGCTGGTTATACAAAGCTCCCAGCCAAAGGGATGAAGAAGGTGATAAACTTCTAACTGCAGGCCCTGGTGTGTACAGCTGTGACAGGCCAGGTGGGTGGGCACGATATTAGCCCAGCGAGGGCCCAGTGTAGAAAGTGATAGTAAGCAGTTAGACTTCATTTTCCAGTGAAATCCTTTCTGCTTCAATTTCTACTCTCCTCTCATGACGTGAGCTGAAGCTTCCGTCCATCTTGGTAAAATGGCATGGGATGGACTAACCAACAGCTTTCTCATCTGGTTCTCTTCTTACCCTTTGGGGGTCTTTAGGATTAGTTTTAGGACAAGGGTTCTCCCATGGAGCTCTCCCAATTCTCTAGCCAGAAATGACCAGTCAGGCCTTGGGGAGAGCATGCTGTTGACGTCACTTCTGGGACCTTCCCCCTGTCCATATATGTGTACACTTGCCTCATCCCCCCATAGTCAATGATTTACTCCTTCAGATAGGGGAGTATACACATCCAACTCATTGTTAGAAAACCAATGTGTCCTGCACATAGGCAACGGTTAACAATGATGTGTGAGATGAACAGCTTAGGAAAGGAGGGCAGAGAGCTAGGTAAACAGCCCAGGGATGCCTCGGGAGCTCCTCCTGCAGGGACAGAGGCACAGTAACCAGTCACTCTGAATAGCCCTCTCTGTCTGGGTTATTTCCCTAATCCCCAGAGAGAAGAGCTGGTCCATGTCCAAATGGATTGATTGGTCATCTGGTCTGGGTCATGTCTACCTAGCTCCCAGAGTACACAAGAGTGGGTAGCCAAGGGCCCTGGGTTGCTGGAAGAATAACACTAGACTATACCCCTGATTCTATTCTTTGCAGCCAAAGATGGAGAAGCTCTATACAGTTAGCAAAAATAAGACCGGGAGCTGACTGCGGCTCAGATCATGAACTCCTTATTGCCAAATTCAGACTTAAATTGAAGAAAGTAGGGAAAACCACTAGACCATTCAGGTATGACCTAAATCAAATCCCTTATGATTATACAGTGGAAGTGAGAAATATATTTAAGGGACTAGATCTGATAGACAGAGTGCCTGATGAACTATGGACAGAGGTTCGTGACATTGTACAGGAGACAGGGATCAAGACCATCCCCATGGAAAACAAATGCAAAAAAGCAAAATGGCTGTCTGAGGAGGCCTTACAAATAGCTGTGAAAAGAAGAGAAGCAAAAAGCAAAGGAGAAAAGGAAAGATATACCCATCTGAGTGCAGAGTTCCAAAGAATAGCAAGGAGAGATAAGAAAGCCTTCCTCAGCAATCAATGAAAAGAAATAGAGGAAAACAATAGAATGGGAAAGACTAGAGATCTCTTCAAGAAAATTTGAGATACCAAGGGAACATTTCATGCAAAGATGTGCACAATAAAGGACAGAAATGGTATGGACCTAACAGAAGCAGAAGATATTAAGAAGAGGTGGCAATAATACACAGAAGAATTGTACAAAAAAAAGATCTTCATGACCCAGATAATCACGATGGTGTGATCACTCACCTAGAGCCAGACATCCTGGAATGTGAAGTCAAGTGGGCCTTCGGAAGCATCACTATGAACAAAGCTAGTGGAGGTGATGGAATTCCAGTTGAGCTATTTCAAATCCTGAAAGATGATGCTGTGAAAGTGCTGCACTCAATATGCCAGCAAATCTGGAAAATTCAGCAGTGGCCACAGGACTGTAAAAGGTCAGTTTTCATTCCAATCCCAAAGAAAGGCAATCCCAAAGAATGCTCAAACTACCACACAATTGCACTCATCTCACATGCTAGTAAAGTAATGCTCAAAATTCTCCAAGCCAGGCTTCAGCAATACGTGAAGCGTGAACTGCCAGATGTTCAAGCTGGTTTTAGAAAAGGCAGAGGAACCAGAGATCAAATTGCTAACATCCACTGGATCATTGAAAAAGCAAGAGAGTTCCAGAAAAACACCTATTTCTGCTTTATTGACTATGCCAAAGCCTTTGACTGTGTGGATCACAATAAACTGTGGGAAATTCTTCAAGAGATGGGAATACCAGACCACCTGACCTGCCTCTTGAGAAACCTATATGCAGGTCAGGAAGCAGCAGTTAGAACTGG